TCTGTATTTTTTTGAATATTTCCTTATTGATAAACACTTAGGCCATTTCCAATTTCTTTTTTACTCTTCCCAGCAATGCTGCTGTGAGCATCCTTGAGTATTGATATGTGAGTGTTGTGCAATTTTTTTTTTCCCCGTAGAAGAGGCTTCTAGAAGTGGGTTTACTAGGTTGTAGGCTGTGTGGGTTTAAAATGTTAATCAATATTGCCAAATTACCCTTCTTACGGTGGAGCCAATTCCCCCTCCCTCCAGTGGTCTATGAGTGCTCATTTCCCCTCATCCTTGCCAGCATTGCTTGTTATAAATCATTTTAATTTTCCCCAATCTGATGGGCAAAAAATGGTATCGTGTCGTTTTCATTTGCATTTGCCTGATTGGTAGTGAGATAGAATAACTTTTTATATGTTTATTGGCCAATTTAGTTCTTCCTCTGCGGATTTCTAATTCACTGCCAATTTTTCTCTTTTGTCTTTTTTCTTATTGATTTGTAGGGGCTCTTTGCATATTAGTGATATTTTCTTGCAGTGTTTCACTTGCATTTTAACTTGGTTTATAGTGTCTTTTGCCGTACAGATGTTTTACGTATTTATGTAGTCGGATTTGTCAAATTTTCGCTTTACAGCTTCTGGATTTAGTGTCTGGCATAGAAGGGCTTCCCCCACTGCATAAGATTTCATTTCAAATAAGAGTTTTATTACTGAAAAATCTTCACAAAGCCTTGGTTTTCAGGCTCCTTCCCGGCTGCGCGTCTGCCTACCTCGGCAGCTGCAGAACTCATTCTGGGGGAGGGATGGCCCCGTGGTCCATCCATCTTCATCTCTTTGCCTCTCCCTCTCTCCATCTGGCTTTGGGGTCTCTGCCGCTGTGGCTGTCTTCTGGCTTCTGTCTCTTGTATGTTCTGCTTCTCCTGTTTTCTGCCCCCTCCCCTGGTGGATTCTTATCGTGCACAATAACTAGGGGTGTGGGCCGGCAGTTCTCAGTGGGTTAGAGGCAGGATGGCAGCCACCAGGGAACGTGCCTCCTCTGGTTCCTCCTGCTGGCTTAGCCCCAAATCAGCGGACCTGCAGGGCAGGCCCTGGCCCGGTTCTCCATCACAGAAATTTCTTGCCAGAGCTGACAGCAGGTCCTGAACTGATCCTGGTCCCTCCTCCACCAGGAAGCCTTCCATGGCCCTGGAATTGGCCCCTCCCTTCAAGTCTTGCTGGATTTCCCCGACTCCTGTCTTCTCAGTTCTGAGCTCTTTGGTCTCCCCTTAGGATCTTGGTTTCCATTTGTGTCAAATAGATCCCAGGAGGCCTTGTCCATGTGGGATACTGCAGAGCTGGTGGGTCTTCCAAGTGAGGGTCTGCAAGCAGTCCCCTCCTGCTCCTTCAGTGCAGTATCCCCTACACACACACACACACACACACACACACACACACACACCACCACCACCACCACCACCACCACCCACACAGAGTTGCATGCAGCAGAGAGGAGGAGACTTTTATTCCATAAGGGTGGCAATCAGTCGAGTTTACTTGTTTTCTAGCCCACCCCAGACCCAGCATGAGGCCTGGCAAATGGGAGGGTGCCCAGAGAAGAAAGGATGAGCACAGAGTGAGTGAACACCATGGGGACATGCTGAGCCTGGCAGGAGGGAAGGAAACTGTGTACCAACCTTTGAGTTCCTCAGGTATAGCAAAGCATGTTCCTTGTTGTCTCTGGGGACAGCGGGGATATGTTAGTTATCGTCTCATCACTATAACAAAAATACTTGAGATAATCAACTTATAAAGAGAAAAGGTTCAGGGGCTGGGATTGAGGCTCAGCGATAGAGTGCTCGCCTAGCACCGGCGGGACCCAGGTTCGATCCTCAGCACCACATAAAAATAAAGGCATTGTGTTGAGTCCATCTACACCTGAAAATAAATAAATAAATAAATATTAAAAAAAAGAGAGAGAAAAGGTTCATTTTGACTCATAGTTTTGAGGGTTCTAGTCCATGATTCCCTGTTGCTTTGGGCCTGTAGTCAGGCAACACGTCACGGTCCAGGCGCACAGTGGGAACAAAACCACTTCACTCATGGACAGGATGCAAAAGAGGAAGAAGAGAGACTGGGGTTCCACAGTCCCCTTTGAGAGCACACCCCAGTGACCTAAGGGTCTGCCATTAGGCCCCACTCCCCGAATGTTCCACCACCTCCCAATAGTCCCTCTCTGGTACCCATGGGCCTTTGTGACATTCCACGTTCGCTATAGTGAGTTGCTCATTGGGAATAATCCCCCATGACCTCCTGGTGGGGGGTTTGGGCTCAGGGGGCAGTGGAGAGATCATTCAGAGAAACTCAGGGTTCCCTCTGAAGCATGGCTCAGAAGTCCATCGCCTAAAACTCCGGGGTGGCCCTGCCTGCTCCTGGGGCCCCTGGATTTCCATCCTGGCAACGCCCCTGCAGTCGGGATAGACCATCTCCTCTCTGTGCTCATATCCTGTCTGACCTTTGCAGCTCTCTGTCTCCATCACCAGGGACACTGTAGGCATTTGACTAAAGTTGAATAACTGAGTGAACGATTAGGTGGATGAATGACCGAAAAGCCAGGGGAGTTGATGGGGACTCAGGTCTGGGAAAGAGGAGACCTGGGTTCAGCCCGGTGACTTCAAATTGTCATGGGACCTCATCTGTACAATGGGCATAGGCTTCTCAAGCTCTGTGATTCTGGGCTGTGTGTCCCAGAGCCGGCACCTATCTCCGTGGCCTGCTCGGTGGTGGCAGTGTTCACTGAACACCCACTGAATCCCAGCCTCCCTCCCCACTGGTCCGGAACCCGCTTTGGCAGCGTCCTTGAGAGGCTGATTCGGCGGAAGTCCCATCCTCCGCGCACATGTCGTTCTGCACACACGCAGGCCTCGGATTCCCAGAGCTCCCTGGGCTCCGCTGAGGGTGCAAGGAGCCAGGAGGGCCAGTGGGAAGTCCCCACTTCGGCTGCGGCCCCTCCACCCGCCTTGGCTGGGAGGCCGGCAGCTGGGATTTCACATCCTCCCTGGGACTCGGCACATGGGCAGGCCTCGTGTCCTGGACAGCGCCTGGCTCCCACTGCGTCTCCTCCCCTGCCCCAAATCATTGTCATGCTCTGACTGTGGTCCCATTTCCATAGCAACTTCTCGTGATGCTCAGGAAGGTTTGGGGGAAGGGAGCGGGAGACCCATTCCTTATCTGGGAGATGGCAGCTGGGGGCTTGGAGAGGTGCGGTGGGGGTGGCCTGCCCTGCTGGCTCAGGTGGAACAGGGCACAGGGCGGCCAGCCAGGTGGTCTGGAGGCCTTCCAGGGACGGGGCTGCCCGTGTTGGCCTGGGCCTGATGGCCGCGCACTGTCTACCAGGAGTCAGCTCGGGCGGCCACCGCTGGGAGCACACCTGCTTGACTGGATCTGGCTTGGGGGATCCAGGGCCAAAGCATTGTCCAGGCTCTGGCACCACTGTGTCCTGTCCTGTCCTCTAGGACCGGCAGCCGTTGGGAGGCCCCCCTGGGGCTGACTGGCACAGGGACAGAGCTCGGGGCTGGTGGATCAGGGGCTGAGCAGACCCTCTCTACCAGGTTTCGCAGCTTTGTGGGTCTGTTATCAGGGCCCCGCTCAGCACCTTCTTTCTCCCTCCATCTTGAAGAACAAAAAGCAGGAAGACCCTTCCAGAGTCCCTCCATCTTCATCTCCCTCGTGGCTGGAAATTCCATCAGCATCTAAGACTTGGTGGAACATCCGCTCTGGAAGGGACTCCAGGGCCTTTGCCATCTTTGGCCCACACTGTGGGAACCTCCTCAGAGCCCTGTGCACCCATCCTCCTAGCCATCCCAACTGGACGGCGCTGGGAGTCCTCCTGGGGACCCAGGCCTGTGCTGGATAGTGCACATGGCGGACAGAGAGGGAAGGGCAGGCGTGGCTCAGTCTTTGGAGGGTTTCAGGGAACCAGGCAGCGAGCGGGTCAGATGCCAACTCCTGAGCTTCCCGTCACCCCCCCTGCCTGCCCCCGCAGCCACCTCTGGCCCCATCTACACTTGTAGCTTCTTGATCTTTGTCCTGGCGCTGGCTCACATCTGAAGGTGGATCACCACACTTGTCCCAAAGCCACAAAGCCGTGAAATCACATCTGTGATGTGCCTGTCATGTTTTTTTCCTAATACACAGAAAAATAAACATATACCTATGAAAATAAAAACGTCTGTCCACACGCTGCCTCAGTCCCCTTGCAGCCCGGAGGTGTGTGTCCCAGGCACTGAGAAACACTGATCTGACGGGAGCCCCTCAGCCGCGGCTCTGGAAGGCATCCAGGACTTTGTCTAGAGGTAGCAGAAACTGAGGTGCAGAGGGAGCAGCGTGGCCCAGGCACACGGCCAGGAAGTGGGAGAGCCGGGAGCCCCCACCTCCCTGGCCTTCCACCTGGGTTTGTGCCGTGTACCTTTGAGGGCCTCGCCAGTGTCCCCAGACTCCCTGGCGTCCTCACTGGTCTGTTGGGACAAGGGGAGGTTAGCTGGGAGCTGCTGGGCTCCTTGGGGACTGGGAAGGGGGGCGCTCAGGCCTCTGGAGCTGTCCCTCTTCCCTGTCTGAGGGGCCAGCTCCGGGGCCAGTTTCTGGGGCCTACCTGGAGAGGAAGGCTGGCAGTGGCACTGCTGGACACCTGCTGTGCTGCAGGCTCCGGGTCCCCTTTCTCTTCCCTGAAGTCCTGGAATCTCCATGGCACAGATGCAGAAAGCCAGGCTCCCAGCACCACAGGCCCAGGGTGGGAGAATCAGAGCCAGACCCCAACAGCCCGGGGCAGACACCCTGAGTCTCCAGAGCCTGCGTGCCCATGAGTGTGCTCGGGAGTGAGAGCACATGTGAGCGTGCAAGCCCCCGTGTGTCATCCTGAGTGTGCCGGCTGCATAGTATTTGCATGGATCAGACTCATTTACATGTGTGGTCCCCAGAGCCCCCCAGAGCCTCTGCTGCCCTGCTGTGTCCCTAACCATTTCCTCTGTCTCCCCACAGCCTTCTGCACCCACAGGCCCTGAGATGCTGGTGCCCACGGCATCGAGGGCAACTGACCCTGGCCCGCTGTGCTCACTGGACCCCGCTCAGCCTGAGGTAAGAGGCCACTCAGGGCCACTGGGCAGAGTGGGGGTGGAGGAGCCTTCTGGGCTGGGGTCTCGAGGGGAGGCTGTCTCACGACCTTCTTTCTGGAGGTTCCCGTCTCCCCCACGTGCAGTCAAGTCCAGGAGCTGGGATAGGAGGGTGCCACCTGCCCAGCCTCTGTGTGGCAAGGCTCAGCAGTCGCTCGGAGGCCCGGGGCGTTCTTCCCCGAGACGTGGTTTCACAACAAGCTCGCTAATAAGTTCCTATGCGGCGAGGGAGGTCTCTAATGACAAGTGAAGGACCCGTCACATCGTTGATCCTGTCACATGGTTGACCAAATGTGTGTTTGACTCCGGGTCAGGAGGAAGTGGGGCGTGTGGGCTGAGATATTCAGGGTCCAAGAAACTGTCAGGAGGCTGGCACCAGCTCCCGGGTGCAGAGTAATGGGTCCGGTCAGTGGAGGGTCTAGACACCTTCAGGGCAGAATGAGGCTCAGACTCCAGGGGTGTGTGTAATAAGCATTGGCAGCCAGGTGACCTTGGCTTTGTGTGATCAGAGCAGTCGGACTTTTTGTCTATATCATGAGGAGAAGGGCACCCAGAATGTGGGAGGTGACAGTCCCTCCCACTCCGTGTCCCAGGTGAGGGGATACAGGAAACGACAGCGTGTGGTTTTGAGGTAGGAGATGGGCAAGGAGAGGGACCTGAGCTGTTGCTAGGCTTGACCCCCGTTTTGCTTGTGACTTCAGACAAGTCACCTTAACCCTAAGCCAGTTCCCCGTTCTTGGCCTCCTGGATTCACGAGGCAGCTGCAGCGGGAGTTTGTTAAGCAGCAGGAGTGGTGGGGAAGGCGTGGGGCGGCCGCTGGACGTTACCCACAGTGCTCAGCGGGGCCACCGGCCTCGGCCTCCTCCTCCCGAGGCACTGGGTGACAGTGTGTGGTGGAGGCTCAGCCGGCCCTTCCTCTGCCTGGGAGCTGGTGGGCATGGTGGGAGCAGATGCCTGCATCTCCTTCCTGGGCACTGGGCCTCGCTCTGAGGTCCACTTATGTCCATCAAAATATTCCTGCTAATTAGTTGGTCTTGGGTAGATTGAGCTGCTAATTGGCCCCTCCAGTTTAACCTGTAATTGCTGCTGGGAGATGGCGAGAAGACGTGGACAGGGCAAAATGAGGCGGCCAGGGTGGCTCACCTTGGCCTCTGCCCAGCAGGCAGTGCAGGACGTGAGGACGCTCAGTGCAGGGAGCCAGCAGGGGAACTGAGGCAGGGCGGGGGTGCCTCTCAGCGGGGCTGCTGGCAGGCCTGTTACAACAGACGACACCTGGGCTGAGCCTCGAGGCCTGTAGGGTTCTTTTCAAACATTCTATTTTTCTGGTTATAAAATATGTTCTCTATAGAGAAATCTGAGCACTCGGGTGTTTTGCCCGTCAGTCTTTTACAAAATATGTATTTATGACATAATTGGGATCAAGCTGTCCTTACTGTTTCCTAACCTGCCTTCTGCATTTAATTCTATACCAAGATCGTTTTTCCCATCATTAACCACTCTTCTGTAATGGGATTGTTAATGGCAGCATAGTGTTCCAGCCCGGGCGAGCCACGGCGAATCCACATCTTCTCCCTTGTGTATTTTGATGGTTCCCAGTGTTTTGTCATTATAAATATTGCCTGACTGAACGGGGCGCATGGAGGGTATGATGGGCGGACGAGGCTTGAGGTTGGGGTCGGGCCCAGTCTAAGCAAAGCCACAGCGGCAGGGGAGTTGTGTTTGGGTGTCATGACCCAGGAGGGGGCCTGGTGGGCCAGCGGGAGCCGTGGAGGCTGTGCGGAGCTGGAGCTGAGTCCTGGCTTAGCCAAGCTCTGGGAGAGGCCTGGGTTTTTCTTGCCATCCCCTGACTCCCTGGTCCCCTCTGTCAGGGATCCTGTGTTTGAAGGGGAGGGGCAGGTTCGTGGCGGGGGAAGGGCAGGCAGGCTGGGTGCTCCTACTCTAGAGCAGGACCAGTGGTGTCCACATCAGGGCCCTCTGCTCTCAGCCCTGCACAGGTCTCTTTGTAGGAAGGACGCACACGCCAGGTCTCGCGCAGCTGGTCACATAGGCCTCTCCTTCATCCCCCATGGCGGGTGGCCTATGATGGGGACCCAGAGGGCCACAGGAGAAGGCTGAGACTGGCATGTTTTCTCCAGCAGAATTCCCTAAGCTGAGGGGAGCTGGGGGCCCCTCCCCTGTGTACATCTGTTGGCCCCAGCTGCGTTCACCCTGGGCTGGGGCTGCCCTTGGGGGAGGATGGTGGGGACTCCCAGGGCGGAGTGTGTCTGGAGTTGCTCCCTTGTTCCCTCATGGCATACACTTGGTGCTGCACAAATGCTCACTGAAGTCATTGTTGGTCAGTGATTCATTCCCATCTTCTGAACACCTGCTGCATGCCGGGCCTCATTCTGTGCGCCCAGCATCGCATCCATGAGTGACAGGTCAGACCAGGTCACTCGCTGCCCTCACAGAAGTGGAATTCTAACAGGGTAGCTGGGAAACCCAGTAAGTGAGTTCACAAAGTAAGGCTGGGGAGTGCAGAGGCCACCCAGAAGGGGAAGGCTGGGAGCGGGCATGGGTGGGCAGGACGAGCCTCGTGGAGGGGCTGGGGGGGGGTCCAGCGGGCTGGGGTTTAGAGGGTGTGTTGGACGTGACTCATGGCTTCCAGGCCCCCGCTTGTTGCTTGGAGGGGACAGGATGGGTGGGCTAGAGAAGCTGGCAGCCCAATCCAGAGGCCCCGGCCCCAGTCCTGACACATGATGGCTGGGAGCGGGGTTGGGATAGGGCTCGAGTGAGGGTCCTTTGAAGGGGCAGCTGAAGGATGGGCTGTGGGACTTGGTGGGCCTGGAGGGGGAAAGCAGGCCTCCTGTCTGCAAGGGTTTAAGGTGCTGGGGTCCACACGAGGATGTACAGATGTGTGTGGAGACAGACAGGCAGACAGACAGGTCGCGCAGAGGGAAGGGAGCAGCTGCCTGTGCAGGTGTGGGAGTCGCCAGCATCTGTGGGGCTTTTCGAGTCTCTTGCCTGGACGGGGTCAGTAAAGAAGGACGCTGGGGCTCATTGCTTAGGGTGGTCCATCGGTGGGCGCTCCCTGCCCATGGGCGGGCCTGTTACTCCAGCCATGCTCGTGAGGATCTACTAGCCTGAGAAACTGCTGCTAGCTCACCCTCCCCGCTGTTTCTCCCATGGCCTGAAGGTTGCCATTGTGCTTCTGTGACATTGGTCATGGATCGGTGGTCAGGAGCTCCTCTGCCGATTGATTCAGTCATGCTCCTCCTCAGGGACCTACCATGGCTCCTGTTGTCTAAGGATTGAATTCCAAACTCCTTGTCCTGGTGATTTAAGGTTTTCCACCATCTGGCTCAAGTCCACTGTTTCTGCTCCCCTTCTTTCCAACAGGTGACTCCCCC